GAGGAAGCTGAAACTGTCAGGAAGCTATTAGGAACGTATTGCAATAATCTGAATGAAATAGGATTGGAGGCCAGATCAAGGAAGAGAAGAGCAGAATGAAAAAAACAAGGAAGCTGTTTTTCCTTAGCAGTTCTATCTCATGAGATTAATATAGCTCCTCCTTCATGTTGAGAGATATGAGATAGCTGAATCTATGCAGCAGTAAACTATTGTGCTATACATCTCAGAGATCACCTCTATTTGTCTCCAGGACATACTTAGTGTCAAGCTCTTTATAAAACTAGATAGGCATTAGTAAACAAATAAGGAAAATGGCTAACTTTGTTTAGGTGGGAAATAGCAGAGGTTAATTATCCATTAAAATTATCTGTAATGTGATTATTAAATCATTTTAAACACTGGTATTGTAAATAAATGTTCTTTTTTCCAACCAGTTTAGCATTTGCTGACATCTAGGACTGTAAGTTTTAGCAAATAAAATTCAGGCTGCCCAATTAAATTTGAATTTCAAATAAACAACACATTTTTTGAGTATACATATATCCCCCAAAGTGGGACATACTTATAATAAAAATAATTGTTTATCTGAAATTTAAATCTAACCGGGTGTCCTGTATTTTATCTGGTAACTTCCCTACTACCAAAATAATCCATTACCTGTAAATAGTAGCTCCCTTCAACAGTGTGTAGTCCATCAAATACCCCTAGGGCATAAACTTCATCTGATCTCTTCTCAGACATCTCGTAGCTTAAATGACAACAGAGATCTTTCTGACAAACTGTGTAATTTCCCATGACTCTTTTGAGCTCCAAGAAGGTGAATTCATCAGAAAAAACAATGCCCTTAAATTCCTGGTTTCCCATTGGGAGTGCTTCTATACCACTGGCGTAAGAAGTCCAGTTCACGACTGGGTGGTATGGGTGGGAATTCAGTTGTGAGAGGAGGAGTTTTCCCTCCTCTGTCTTCATATCATAATGAAATGCTCTTGGAGAATCAGGTGCATAGATGCCACTTCCTGGAAGTGATAAGTTGGAAATGGCATTTGAAATAGAAAAGTTAAAAGAAGATCACGTAGTTTTTGTTATTTGACACTTATATTAACATTTTACTCCCCCTAAAGTATATATTTCATTAATTTCAGTGAAATATGCTAAGGTTAACAAGTGAAAAGAAATCCAACAGAGGATGACACCAAGAGACCAAGGAGAGAGTTTCACAAAAAAAGTAGTGAATTATTTTTGGTGGTGGGGAGGAAAAGGGTGTTCATTTAAGTTGAATAAAACTAAGTAAATCTAGAAACAATTTAGATAAAGACTGATTCTACAGCATGTCACCAACTAGTTATGCAAAAATTAAAAATTGAAAAACTCTGTATTTAAGAGTACATATTAGCAAGAAAAATTTTTTTGCTTTTTTAGATTACATCAATTCTATGAATTTCAACAATTACACAGTACCTGTCATTTTCTTTGAGGGATGATGTATATTAGATGCAAGGAAATTGACTCCCATGCCCATAGCCCAAGCTGAGTGGAATTCAATAGCTGACAAATGTGGCAAAACATTCATCCAAGCCGTGGGAAACAGTATGGTGTCCACATAGAAATCTTTCACCAGGGTCACAGCAGGATCATGGAAGAGTATATCAAAACATGTAAATATGCCAAACCTTCCGAAGGAGGTGTTGAAAGTCACAACCTCAGGCTTCGTGGGTACATTGAATTGATCTTCACCCAGGAAAAGATTTTGCTGTGATAAACAGAAGATGAAGCAGGAAGAAATCTCTTTTAAGAAGTTGGCCTGGAGATCACTGTGTCTGAAAAAGTACAAGCTCACATCTATTCCAGGGCTTCCCAACCCCCAGGCTGTGGACTGGTACCATGTGATCTGTTAGGGACCAGGCCACACAGCAGGAGGTGAGCAGCAGGCAAGCCAGCGAAGTTTCATCTGTATTTGCAGCCACTCCCCAGTGCTAGCATCACCGCCTCAGCTCCACCTCAGATCACCAGGCATTAGATTCTAATAGGAGCACTGGTCCCTGGTGTCGGAAAGGTTGGGGATCACTGTTCTATTCTACAGCACTAATTTCATCTATGATCACTGTCTTCAGAGGGAAAGATTTATCAGAGATTACTACAGCTGAGAAGGAGCCTTTGGTTAAATCTCCACATTTTATAGATAGGTACAAGGGAATCTTTGTCTGTTAAGACCTTCTTGAATCTTATAAGACATAAGAGTAAAATAAGATCATTTCTACTTGCTAAAAACACAAGTATTTTCTGTGGACAAAGAAATTTCTTTGCTCCTTTCTCTCTAAAACCAAGTCTACTTGGTAAGGAGTTTTTCATTCTAGCCTTGACCTATTGCCAGGGTGTGTTTTTAAAAGGACAAAGTTCAAAAGATGATGTTATATTTCAATGCAGGTAGGTTCTACTAATCTTCACACACTCCCAACACCAGGCTTTGGTGTTCCTAAATGCACAGGAAACCTCTCAAGTCTCTTTATAGGAGTTCTTCACACTAAATCATTACTTTCTATGTTTTGTCTCCACTCTACTTCTAAACTATGCTTATTATTATCAACAATAAGAATTTGCCTCCCTTCTTGTCCATTTTATTTTGTTAAACATTCAGTAATTATTTGTAAATTAATTATACCTTATGGTAGCGTGCCACCAGTTTTCCCTGAGAATCAAACACCACATCAGTGTTGTATTGGTAACGGCCATCAGAGGGACACTGGGGATCACTGGCATTGCATGGCTTCTTGTCCCCAACATTTGCCACAATGTAGATACCATTTTCCTTGGCCAAGCAGCTGAGTTTTTGTTGCACTGGGGTGTAGCCAAATCTGATATGTGTTATTGGAAGAGAAAAAAAAAATCAAGCTTAGCTTTTAACAAAATTTAGAATGATAGCAGCCTGAACCTATTAAGTGATATACACAAAAAATAAATTCTAAATAAAATAGATAAGAAAGTATTAAAACAAGAAGAGACTTCAGAGGAAGTATATGCTTGTGGGAATTTGGCTGTCGAAAACTAAACTACGTATGATTTCAGGCCATGTGTTTTTTCTTCATAGCATTTATCATCATTTCTAATCATGCATTCATTTATGTGTTAATCTTATATTGTATGTCACATCTTACAGATATTTTGGGGCAAAGACACATACTTCTTATTCCCAGAACCCATCCCTGATATAAGAGAGGCATTAAAAAAGATTTCAAGTGAAAGAAGGGTAGGAAGATTCTGGGAAGATGACAGAATAGAAAGCACCAGGAATCTATCCCTTCATAGAGAAAAATTGCATGTGCAGAATCCGTCTGATATAATTATTTTGGAACTCTGGAGTCAGTTGAAAGGATTGGAAATTCCAGGGGAAGGCTTGGAAGGTTAATTACAGTTAATTTTATTCTAGTTTAGCTCTTAGCCCAGCTGCGACTACTCATGCCCATCGCTACCTTCAGCCCTGTAGCAGGTAGCCATGTGGGTATTCCTGGAGCACCTTGCAGGCAGCATGCAGGAGCAAGGTGAGCAATAAAGACCCTCTCCTCTAATTATCAGGGATCTCTGTTCTGGTCTTTGATAACTGTTTCTGATGGTGGGGATGTAGAGTCAGAGGCAGGCAGCCATTATTGCATTCCCAACCCCAACACACATTGTTACTATTCTGGCTGAAGCAACTTAAAGGAGATGTATAGGGCAGAACCTTCTTCTTCTTCTTCCCCCACTCCGCCTCCCCCCACCTCTCCACCTTTTGGGAACCAGAAATTTAAGGACTAGGATATAAAAAAGCAATCACATATATAGGAGAATTTAGAAAGTCACAACACATGCCCAGGGAAAGGCACAGACTAAGACAAGACCCAAGACTTTAAGTTTATTTCAAGCTTACGCTCAGCATGGAAACAGCCTACAAGCAAAATAAACAAATAAACGAAAGACAGAAAATCCTGGGGAAAAAGAAAATTTGATTTGCAGAGGTATCACATTATAATTCAAATGTTTAGTTGTCAACAAAAATCATAAGGCATGCAAATAAATAGGACAACAGATACCATCTCAGAGAGAGACCAGATGCCTTGCCGACCGGACAGAATTTCTGCAGTTTGAATGGCAAAAGCAAAACTAGCACAAATTTCTTTTTCCTTCTTCACAATTTCATGGGTAGAAGATTCATCTTTACTGTAAATCTTAGCAACCTCGGCATACAATTTTTTTCTTCCCGTATTAAGATCACAACTTTCACTTTTTCACTTAAAAAGATGTACTTTATAGCTTCTCTTTGGCATATCTGAATTGCCAGAATCACTATTCTTGCACTTTGGGGCCATTATTAAGTAAATTAAGGATCACTTGAACACAAGCACTATGATACTGTGACAGTGATCTGATACCTGGGATGACTACTAAGTAACTAATGGGTGAATATTATGTACAGTGTGGATACACTGGACAAAGGGATGACTCACATCCTGGGTGTGACAGAGGGACGGTGATAGATTTCATCATGCTACTCAGAATAAATAGCACACAATTTAAAACTTATGAATTGTTTATTACTAGAATTTTCCATTTAATATTTTTGAACAAATAGTTGACAGCAGGTATCTGAAACTATGGAAAGCAACACCACAAATAAGCCTTTACATGGTTTCGGATTTTTTTTCATTCAGTCATCCATTGCTAGAAACTTAGGTTGTTTCCATGTCTTAGCTATTGTAAATAACACTACAATGAACATGGGAGTGCAGATATCTTTTCAAGATAGTAATTTCACTTCCTTTGAAAATATATCCAGAAGTGAAATTGCTGGATCATATGGTAGTTCTATTTTAATTCTTTGAGGAAACTTCATACTGTTTTTCATAGTGGCTACACCAATTTACATTCCCACCAACAGTACACAAGGATTCCCTTTTCTCTGTCTCTTCCAGCATTTTTTATCTCTTATCCTTTTGATAGTAGCCATACTACCAGGTGCGAGGTGATATCTCAATGTGGTTTTGATTTGCATTTCCTGATGTGGAGCACCTTTTCATGTAACCATTGTCCATTTGTATGTTTTCTTTGGGAAAATGTCTATTAGGTTATTTTTTAATCAAAAGAATTTTTTTGCTATTGAGTTGTATGAGTTCCTTATATATTTTGGGTATTAACCTCTTATCAGGTATATCATTGGTAAATATTTTCTCCCATTCTATAGGTTGTCTTTTCGTTTCGTTGAGGTTTTCTTTTGCTATGCAGAAGCTTTTAAGTTTAATATAGTTCCATTCATTGATTTTCCTTTTTTTTTTTTGCTTATATTTTTGGTGTCATATCCAAATTCCTTGCTAAGAACAATGGCTAGGAGCTTTTTTCCCCATGTTTTTTACTACAAGTTTTACAGTTTCAGGTCTTATGTTTAAGTCCATTTTGAGTTCATTTTTGTGAGGGGTATAAGATAAATTTCCAACTTCATTCTTTTTAATGTCAATATCCAGTTTTCCAAACACCATATATTGAAGAGACTATCCTTTCCCACTGAGTATTTCTGGCTCCCTTGTTAAATATTCATTGACTGTATATGCATGGGTTTATTTTTGGAATCTCGATTCTGTTTTATTGAGCTATGTGTCTATTTTTATGCCAATATTATACTGTTTTGATTACTTTTTTTTTTTTGTATAGCTTTAACATACAGTTTGAAGTCAGGAAGTGTGATGTCTTCAGCTTTTTTTTTTTTATCCCAAGATTGTTGTGGCTATTTGGAGTCTTTAGTGGTTCCATACACATTTTAGGATTATCTTTTCTATTTCTGTGAAAAATGTCATTGGAATTTAGATAAAAATTGCATTGAAGCTATAGATGACTTTGGGCAGTATGGAAATTTTAACACTACTAGCTCTTCTAATCCAGGAACACAGAATATCTTTCCATTTATTTGTGTCATCTTCAATTTATTTCCTCAATGTCTTAGTTTTTGGTGTATAGATCTTTCTTTTGTTAGTTAAATTTTTTCCTATTTTATTATTTTGATACTTTGTAAATGGGATTTTTTCCATATAGTTCATTGTTGATATATAGAATTGCAACTGATTTTATATATTGACTTTGTATCCTGAAACTTTATCAAATTTGTTTATTAGTTCTAACAGTTTTTTGGCGGAGTCTTTAAGATTTTCTTATGCAGTAGCAGAGACAATATTACTCTTCCTTTCTAATTTGGATGCCTTTTATTTCTTTCTCTTGCTTAATTGCTCTGGCTAGGACTTCCAGTACTATGTTAAACAGAAGTGGCAATAGTGGGCACTGCTTGTCTTATTCCAGGAGGAAAACTTTCAACCTTTCACTATTGAGTATCATATTAGCTGTTGGCTTATAACGTATGGCTTCTAGATATACTTTGGAGTTCTTGTCATGAAAAGATGCTGAACTTTATCAAATGTTATTTCTGTATCTATTGAGGTAATAATGATTTTTACCTTTCATTCTGTTAATGTGATGTATTATATTTTTTTATTGTACATATCGAAACATTCTTGCATCGCAGGGAATAAATATCATGTTATCATAGTCTATGATCCTTTTAATGTACTGGTGAATTTCGTTTGCTAGTATTTTGTTAAATTTTTTTGCATCTATGTTTATCAGGGATGTTGGCCTGTAGTTTTCTTTTCTTGTGATTTTGTACCTGACTTTGGTATCAGAGTAACGCAGACCTCAAAAAGTGAGTTTGGGAGTGTTCCCTCCCCTTTAATCTTTTGTAAGATTTTGAGATGAATTGGCATTAATTTTTCTTTAAATGTTTGGTTGAATTAACTGTGAAGCCATCTAGTTCTGGGCTGTACTTTGGGGGGAGGGTTTTGATTACTGATTCAATCTCCCTATTCATAACTGATCTACTCAGACCTTTATTTTTCATGATTTAGTCTTGGTAAATTATCTGTTTCTAGGAATTTATCCACTTTTTCTAAGTTATCCTATTTGCTGGCCTATAATGTTTGTTCATAGTAGTTTGTTATGATCCTTTGTATTTCTGTAGTATTATTATAATGTCTCTTCTTTCATTTCTAAAAATATAGCATGCTTCAGGAATTCACATGTCATCCCTGTAGAGAGGCCATTCTAATCTTCTCTGTATCATTTTGATTTTAATATATGTGCTGCCAAAGTGAGAACAAGAGAATTATTGTTTAATAGGTATTGAGGTCAAGTTTTGCTAGATAAAGGGTTCTAAAGATAAATGATGGTGATGGTTATGCAACAATAAAAATATAATTAATATCACTGACTATATACATTCATTCAAGAATGATTAAGATGGTAAATTTTATGTTATGCATATATTAATTACTACAATTAAAAAATGGGTGAAAAAACCCTTGGAGGTAAGAAAAGAACATCTTATTCAGGAAACCAGTCAATCTTTAGGGAAGAAAAGGGCAAGAATTTAAAAGATGTGTTTTGGGTCATAGGAGATACAGCTCTGCCCAAAAGGCTTAGAAACCTATTCCAAATTTGATAAACAAAGAAGTAACAGGATCTGAATTTTCTTTAAGATTAATAGAACATCAGAGTATAGAATATAGTAGAATGATGAGACACTAAATATAGGGAAATCATTAGGAAGCTGTTTAAATAGTTCATATTAGAGGCAACAAGGGTTGGGTTAGGACAATGACAGTATGGAAAGATGAAAATACTGGAACATTTGTTCATGCTTGATTTCTTTAATTTTATCATGTTACCAGTAGTTGTCCCAGTAAAGCAATTAAAATGCAGTTTTTGAAAAGTGAGACCTCAGAAAATAATATTTAGTCATATTTATTCTGTATTGGCATAACCCTAAAATAATAATTGATCAATACTAGGTTATTGACGAATAGATGATGTTAGGATAACTGTCGAATGAATGAAAATGTGGTGCCATCTGCTGGCAGTAGCAATTAAAGCTTTCTTTTAGTATCAAATCTAAACCATTAGGTCTACAATTTTGTACAAAACCATAGCAAACATCCACAAAACATATCCTTGTAAAACACCAAGAAGGATGGAAAGCACATCCAAAAAATTATTATTTTAATGCATTTACATGAATGACCATTTGATAGTCCCCTCTACTTGTTTCAATTGTATGTGAAATGCACAGATATAAATACAACACATTGAACCACTTAAAACATATTTACCCCAAGTCTCTCCAGATCACCTGAAGTGGTAGAATAGGTACATGAATTAGAACCCTGATATTTTGGATTTCTGAAACAGTACTGATTAAATATTTTTCTCCTGTCTCTATTAATCTTAAAAATGCCTCATAGAAATTTAATATATTTCCATTTGAACTATATTTTTCAGATGATTTGCTATATCCAGAAAAGGCTCCAAAATTCTTTGTTAGACTACATGTCCTGATTTGGAGTTTAAAAATGCATTTTGCTTCTGTGAGCCTGAAATCTGCCTGCCCTAGTGCTACCAAGAACAGAAAGAGGTGAAACAGAAAAATTAAAATGTATTTTCTAGGACTGTTTTCAAAGTGCTTAATCTCAAAGTACAACAAAAATTATTAATTATTGAACGAGACATTTACTAATTTATAATAAGTGTACATTAAATATTCAACAAATATTTGCTGTATCCTTACCACACAAAGCACCTTGCTAAGTATGTGGGCATCCAGGATAAAGACATGCTGGGCAGAGCTGTCCCAGTGCAGTGTGGAAGACACTGGAGCATAAGATATGATGGATGCACGTTGAAATCATTTACTCTTACTGGAGAAACCATGTATGCACACAAAGCCCTGAACTAACAGTACATATAACATACAATCAAACATCAAAATGTTTTTTTATATAAGCTAGCTAATTAGGCAAGTTTTTTCTTTTACCTTATTGAACTAACAATTGACTCTAATCTGCAAGCCAGATCACCTCGATCATAGGTGCAGACATTCGTGGTTATTAAAGGATGCCTCTTATATAAGGACTCTGACACACGCACATAAGATATCATCAATGAAAAAAAGGTGAATGAGTAAATTCATCTGTGGGTTAGGTTATTGGACATATGTTGTATCTCAAGAAATCTATAAACTTTCTTCTGTCAGGCAATGAAAGCTTCTAAGCCAAATTGTTTCTCTTTACCCTCCCAGGAACTATTAAAACTACACTGCTCATCCAATTTAATTATCAGCCCTCTATTAGCCTTGTAACAACTACTTCTTCTACTTTATTCAGTTGACTTATATTTTGTTTTTATATCTAAACTGTCCTATTTTAAAATTATTTTTAATTTTCATTAAAAAATAATAAAATTTTAAAAACTCTCAAATCCTCTTGGAAGCATATGAAGTATAAATGCTAAATAAATAGATAGATAGATAGATAGATAGATAGATAGATAGATAGATAGATAGATAAATGAAAATAAGAAGGCCCTATTTCCATTACACATGGACTAACTGGTAACGTAGGCCCCGAGAAAGGTTGGTGACTCTGAGAAAAGAAATAAAAAGGAACTCAGTGGATATTTCAAACATACTCAACAGAACATGCTATCTGATCGTATGCAAAGAATTAAGGAGCTTAACTACTCATTTCGCCTCACACCCTACATCTAATCTTTCAGTGAAACCTGTCAGAGCTATTCAGAATCTGGTTATTCCTCAATACCCAAACTTCTACCATCTTGGTTCAAGCATCGTCATTACTCTGCCTAGATCACTCCAAGGACCACTGGAGACTATTCTCTACATTCTCTGCCTTATAAAACTTAAGTCAGAACGTGTCACTTCTCTGCTCAAAACTCTCTAATGGCTACCTTCTCACTCAAATAACAAAGTCATTATTATGGTCCACAAATCCTTATGCAATAAGGCCCCTCCAAACTATCTGCCTCCATCTCCTACTTTTCTCCCCGCTCCCTCACATCACTTCAACTGTGATAGCCTGCTGAAATGTGAAAGAGTTAAAGGATAATTAAAACCTGAAACTGGACAAAGGAAGTCTATACCTTAGGCCTAGTTTCTGGAACCCCTAACCACATTCTGTTAATCATGAAACTTGTAACAATGAGCTCATACGCTAACTGCCACTTTTAGCCTGTGTAACCCTGCTTGCTTGCGTGGCATGAAAAAT